AGGTGCTGCCGTCGTAATTTCATGCCCCAATGAGAAGAGCAAGGTCGAAGCAAATGCTTCCATCGGCATCTGCTAACACACTAACTCATAAACAAGGCCCGGCTGGATCAGGTGGCACGGAATAATACAGGCTAATGAAATACAGCACAGCTTTCCATTACTGTTAGTTTTTACAGTGTCGTCATTACGTGTAATTTATGTTTAAAAAATTCAATTTTATACAAGGCACTGGGAAATAGGGGTCTACAGGTCATCCAACGACTTTTAGAGGCTCTGAGAGTCCTTATTGTGCTCCTCTGTTCCAACAAAATGTTAATAAAATAAAATAAAAATACTTTTTCCCTTTCCCCTCCCCTAACCTTTTCTGAGAGAGTTGATTTTTCTTTTAATGTGGGGAGTGTTTTTAGCCAGCTGTCTTCTCTGCCTCATCTCCGCCCAGAGTGTGCACGGGTAGATAACTAGTTGTTCTGAGAGAGGTCACCCCTGCTCGGTCTCCGTGAATCACCTGAGTCCTGTGAACAGAGGGACTGTGATGGGGAGGACGCTGGCCAGAGTGGCCAGCCCGGAACTGCCGCCCTTTGCCGCTGGCCCTCTGGCCCCGTTCCCTAATAAACCTGGGGCTGGCCTGGAAGGTGCTGTCAGGCGTTCATTATCTTGCTTATGTCCCCGCTTTCCCTGACCCTGATCTCCTGCTTGTTGTCTGACCTGAGAGATGCAGAGAACACTGCTGTCTGCTGTCTTTCTGCTTCACCTGCTCAGGGCCAGGCCCCGTGGCAGTGCCGTGCGGTCGCGGAGAAGCCCACGCACAGCCCGTCCCACAGAAAAAAGCCAGCCCTCCTCCAGGCCCGTGTGTCTGAGTCCTGGGAAAGGACCCTGCGTCCTGCAGCTCAGAGTCCACGGGTTGGTTTGGGTTTGTTTGCATTTTGACAAAACGTTTAGAAAAAGAAAGCACATTTGTTTATCTTCTAAGGGATAAAAATAAGCAGGTGTGGCAGCCCCGAGGCCGCTCACTTCAGTGGTCATAGAATGTAGCTCACTTGCCTGTTCTTTTAAAGGGATCCCACCCTGAAGAAAGTGCTGGAAAAGAAGTCATTGGCCGGCTTCTGCATCAAGGGAGGCTCCCCATAAAGGGAGCTGGTTCTGGAAGTAATTCCCAGAGAACCGGGGGGTCAGGGCTGGGACTTCACGTGCGCAGTGGGGTCTGAACTGAGAGTGCGGCTTTGCAGGTCAGACAGCTGTGACCTTACAGGCAAAACGACAGCCTCTCCGAGCCAGGCGCCCTGCTCCTCCTGCCCACCTGGGACAAGTCCCCCGTCCCTTCCTCCTCCTCTGCCTGAAGCCAGTGAGTGGATGCGATCCCTGGGTTGGCCTGTCAGATTTTCATTGTCAGTGTCACAGATGGGGGAGGGCTACTGGCTCTTGGAGGCGGCAGGCGGCAGAGGTGAGGTTACTGAAGGAGCCCCTACATGCACAGGGCTAGTGATATCAGGTAATGCAGTTGACACCCCAACTGAAAAATTTTAGGTTTTAGTAAAATTGGCTAATTCTCCCAAAGGTAGCAGCTAAAGGAAGACTTGGGGCAGACGGGAGGGGAAGAGGTTTGCCTGCCATAGACTGACACCCTTAGCTCCATCTCTGCTCAGCTCAGCCCTTGCTCGGTCCCTGGGTTGTTAGATTATTTCTTGCAGATAGCAATCAACTGGAAGGAAGTGTGTGTGTCTAATTTGCATGAGATTATTTAAAACAAAAAAAAAAGGTCTGCATTAGTCAGGGTGATGGTAAACAACGCAAAGAGATGCCTTTTATAATGTAGCCAGGGCCTCAGCTTTCAGAGCCAAATATAATTCACTTACAATTGGCAGTTTCCTTTATTATTCCTTTTAACCTTTTGGATTCTGCAAGGTCTCACTCTGAGCTCTCCGGTGTTTCTCAGCGGGAGTGGGTGGCGCCTGGATGTGTCGTGTGGGTTCTGTGGCAGCACCTCATCCCTAAGGGTAAGGCCATTCAGCACCAGGAGCCCAGGACTGGGGAGATAACGGTGTGTTCAGAGAGATGACCCCTCCGCCCCTCCGCTCAGGCTCCAAAAGTCCCAGCCGATTCACCCGAGAGGTCCACCTGTCGAGCCCTGCCCCTGGTCACCCTCCCTAAGCTGGGACACACCGGAGGAAGAGGCACTGTGAAGGGTGGGCCGCAGCCTGCGGGAGGCTTCGGGTTTATTCGGGGTTAGAATACTAGGATGAGATTAGGTCACCTACCCTTGTCACTCCGGGGGTGTTCAAAAAGTTGCCCAGGTGTCGTTGCAGGGAGGACCCAGGTGATAAGCCCTGAAAAGGCATCCATGGGCCCCCCTGTGGATGGGGTGTCACATGGGATGGGGGGAAAGAGGTTTAGTCCTTGTCTAAACCTCCTCCCTAAGATTGAAGACTTGAGACTTAATTGTGCAGTTGTGATGTGACTGCGCTGTAGTGGGGAGCCCCTGGGCTGGAGGTGGGAAGCCCCACTCGTCACCGGCAGTTCCATGCCCTTAACTCGTATGCTTTGAGGCATATTTTTCACCCTCCTTGGGCCTCCGGTTTTTTAATCTGTTAAATGAAGGCAATGACTGGGATAATGGTTCAGCTCTGAAATGATATTGTTCAGTGAGATCATTAAAATGCTTATTTTTTTAAAAAAAGAAAAATGATTCACTTTATGTAACTAAATCAAAATCCTGACTCTCGGAGGACTAGGGATATCAGACTTCCAGCCAGTGTAAATTTAGGGCATCAAATGATAAGGTCTCTGAAAAACAAGAGCTTGGAGGATGTGCTGATGCCCTTTAAACCGCGGCCTCACTCCTGGGCTTGGCTGCAATAATGCAAGGAACATGTTTTATTAGGAAAATAGGCTTCGGCACAGCTCAGAGCCAGAGGGCAGAACAACGGGCAGGGAGTCCTGTCCCTTTAACCAGCTCCGGCTCTCAGGGCCTCAGCCCAGCCTGCAACTCACTGTATATTTCCCCAGCGTTAGACATTATCGTACTTGTTTATATTTGAAAGAGCCAAAAGGGAAAATGAGAATGCAACTGAATGCTCCTTTTGGGAAAATTATCCTTATTTGCAGCCAGCGGCTGACAAGGCACACGCACCACCAGGTTTGTAGAGTCCGTGGCGCACCAGTGACCGGCAGCCTGTGCTGACGGCGCACGGCCGCTTTCTTCCCCGGTGGCTGCGCGGACTGGTTAAAGCAGCATCTTCTCTGCGAGAACCCTGACGGGGGTTCCCTTCCTGTCTGGGAGGGGACATGTTCTCAGTTTTCCCTCGGCTTGTCTGTCTCTCCTGCCCCTGTGCTGGGGAGGTGAGATGACGATCAAGCAGCCCCTTTGCAGTCAGCTGGGGCTGGGGAGGAGGGACGTGCCCCATCTCGCCCCGTACACTCGGATCTAGCCTTTGCATTGTGCAGGAGCTCAGTGCCCGTAGATGACCCTCCTTGCCCCCTGGCAGCCTTTCCATCTGCTCATCGGTGTGCTGAGAGACTTCACAGAGCTGTGGCCCGGCCTGTGTGTGCGGAGAAGGGGGAGAGCCGCAGTGTTCAATGGGGCCACATCTCAGCTGCCCAGCACAGGGAGGCGAAGGAAGGGGCCGGGGCCGGTTGGAGCAGTTCAGGCATCCTCCCCAGAAAAGTTTGTGGGGCGGCTGCAGCCCACTCACGCCGTGCTGTAGAGCATTAATGTGCTCCATCTAGTAGCCCCTTGGCACGGAGCGTGCGGCACAGGCTTCGGAAGATGCTGATCCTCAGAACCTCCTGTACTTACGTCATCCACCCCCAGGGGCAGATAGACCACGCTGTGGCCTCTAATGGAGGCTGCTGACCAGATGTGGAAAAGCTCCAGGCTCGTTTAAAAGCTCCATGTTGCGGCCGGCCTGGATATTGGGATTCCCGGAACAGCACGGCCGGCCGGAGTGGTCTTTCGTGGCGTGGCCTCGCCGCGACCTCCCACCTGCCTTTTCCTCTCTTAGTGGCGAGAGCGATCGCACGCGCACGTTACTTCCGAGCTGCCCCTCGGGAGAGGTTTCTCCCACCCGTGTGCGCACTTGTTCCTCGCTTTGGGCTGGTTGGTGCCCTCCCTCCTCTCGCAGAGCCAGCGCCCCAGGCTGCCTCGGAAAAGCTTCCGGCCGTGTGCCCCCTGGAAATGGGGTCCGCCTGGGTCTTCCACTTGCCTTTTATTCTCCCTGGGCTCCTCCGTGGGCAAATCCTCTCCACGTGTTGTAGCCACTGCAGATGGCGCCCTGCTATTTCCTCAGGTCCCGTGCGCAGCGTGGTGTAGAGTGTCAGGAAGACTAAAAAAAAAAAAAGGGAAAATGAAAAACTAGCCAAAGGCGATATAGGCAGCCTGTGATAGGCTAGAGTAATAATCATCTCAAAGTTTGGGCCTGGCCTTGTTTTGATCTGTTTTCTTGTTTTATTTTCTTCTTTACATTCTATATCCCATTCATACTAATCACAGTCAGTCCTGATTTTTCTTTTTATTTCTGCATTTGTCATAAAATAAAGCAAATTATTCCCGTCTTCGGAAACGATCTAGACTAATTAGTCGTCTCACCCAATAATTAGTTTTTTGTTTCCCTGTCTGTTTTCATGCATTATTGTTAGTTTTTTCCCCTCTTTTTTTTAACACCATTACAGATTAAAATGAGCCACATTTGCAGTTGATGGTATCTGTTTTCAGGGGAAGAATGGAGAATTGCAGTACAGAGCGACTTCAAAAGCAGCAATAAACTCAAGGATAAATTAAGGAAATTGAATGAGCCACATTTGGAAGCAGTGTTGAGGCTAATATTCTGTCGCTTAAGGTTAAATTGCAACTGAGAGAGGTTCCAGAGAATCCGAAATCGGAGAGGCAACTTCCCAGGATGCTAGGCGTTCCGTGGCTCTCGGGGTCTTTTCTCAACGCAGATTTCGTAGCAGCCGTGGGCAGTGGGCAAGGTACTCACCTGCAATCATGTGCTCTTCTCCCCCAGGGCTGACGGACGAGGAGATCGATGTGGCCTTCCAGCAGTCGGGCACGGCGGCTGACGAGCCTGCGGCCTTGGGCCCAGCCACACAGGTGGTTCCTGTCCAGCCCCCTCACCTCATGTCTCAGCCATACAGTAAGTCGCCCACTCCAGCCCCTGCTTTCACCTTGATTGGACGCAGGGCTCTGGCCGAGAGCAGTGCTCCCCTCTCCCAGACTCAGCAAGCCGGGGAGCTGGGAGGCGTAGCCGGCGGCTCCTGTGTTTTTCCCGAAGAATGTGACACACCCAAACCTTCTAGACAAACTTTGAAGTCTGTGACAAAGGTTTAAGAAGAAGAGACGAGGGACCAGAATAAATGAGTTTATTAATGTGTTGTGTCAGGTATTATGGTTACAAGTAAGAATCTACCAAAGTACGCATTGGCTCAGTTTCCATTTTCTTAGAGCAGTGCTTTTGCATGTTATTGTTGCTCTAAGAGGAACGAACATGAACTTTGGATTCATGAGTGCATTCTCGTTTGCTCGCTAAAATAACTTGCCTCCCAATTTTATTTTTTAAAGTTCATATTAGTAGATTTAGATTGCCCCCTCCTCCTTCCCTCCCTCCCTCCCTCCCTCCCTCCCTCCCTCCCTCCCTCCCTCCCTTTCTTATCCTGGCTATACCATGTATATTTATGCAGTGGCAGTCTGTTAGAAAATTTCAGATTAGATGTAAATGTCCTTTTTGTATGTAGTGTTTAATTATAACATGAGACCATGACCCACAGGAGGTTTTGTTGTTTTTAAATAAGAGCTGTTTTAGGAATTGAGGTTCTTTAAACTAGTAATAAATGTACACCTCAAATACAGCCAGAACCCCTTCTTTTAGTCACCTGTACAAAGTCTAAAAAGGTTAAAATTGACTCCAAAGTGATGAAAAATAGCTCAGTTTTGTGTCTTTAATGTAACTCAGCCTTGAATTTGCCATCTTTCAAAATGCCTTTTGTATAATTGTCTGTCTCGGAAGTTTTATTTTTTCAAAACATGATTTAAAACGGTGTTAGCTATCAGATTTTAAAAGGTGTGATTTAAACCCCTGCCGCGTGGTCTGGAGCTCCTGTCTGGCTCACTCTGCCATCCTCCCTGGCTCAGCCCCAGCGGGGGCGACATCATTGTGCAGAGGCAGGGCTGGGCAGTGGTTAGAGCCGCTCGCTGTGTGTGCCCGCTCTCATTTAGACTGTTGCTTGCTTTTCTTGTGGATGAGGCCGAAGGGGTGAGACCAGGTCACACACACTCACATGCTCTCATCTGTGGTCGCCTTGTCTGACAAACCACTGGTGTCATGTGGCCTGAGACGAGAGGAACATGCCTCGTGGTGAGCCTTGTCCTGCGGCTCCGGAGTCAGTAGCAGCTGCCTGTCGGCCTGGAACTCTTTCCTCCTTCCTGGCCAGCATTCTTCCCCACCCATTGTGTTTGCTTTGGGTCCCTAACCATACTCTGTGTTTCCTTTTAACCAAAGATCAAGTCTCCACACTTTGCTTACTGTGTCCCTGGCCCAGCCGTTGAGTGGGATTTGTTGAGGACGGGCAGTGGCAGCTGGGGTGCAGAAGTTTCTAAGATGCACATCTGTTCTATTCCAGCTGTTTCCTCTAGTGCTTAATACCGAACAGGTCTCTCGGCTACTTGAAAACTTGCTCAGGACAGAGTGTTCTGGCTGATCACAGAGTTGGCCTAAAACATCCTGCGCTTGCCTCCTGTGAGTAGACACAAAGGGTTAAACTGTTCGTCTTTCTGAAGAGGCAAAGCCTGGGATGGGGAGGGGCGGCTCAGTCCTTTAAATCATCCTCTGTCCGGATCGCTCTGAGAAAAAGCATTACCCGGTTAGGTATTTAGGTAGGAGTATTTTTAAGAGTCTCCCAGCCCTAAAAATAAAATACATCTTCTTAGAGACAGACTCCTTCCTGCACTGACGCTGGTGTAAAAACAACGGGAATGGCAATTCTAAATACCTGCCGCTTTAGTGTCACCGGGGAGGGCCATTCTTCTTGTGCCGCTGCCCCGCTCCCTCCAGCTCCGGGCTGGCGCTGCCTCTTCACTTCTGTACTTTTGCCAAGAGGTGTCAAAACTGCTCCAAAAAAAAAAAAAAAAAGCTTGATTTTGATTAATATAGAGAAAGAAGACTTTGCCTGACTGATAATAAAACTGATAAATGACATTTGAATTACTTGTAGCAGTAATTTATTACATAAAATATCTTTTATTTGACATGCGATTAGTTGCTGGAAGCATCACTCAACCTGACGAGTTTAAACACGCTCTAAAATGAACCCCAGTAAAAACCAGGGCTGTCTGCACCGGCGTTATGAAATACACTAATCCTGGAGTGAGGGGAAATCTGACTTTAAATATTTAAATGATTAATTGGGTTTATATATTTTTTTTACCTTTCTAACCCCCTTAATTACAAGCAAACTCAGGGGAGTTTCTGAACTAGGTGTGCAATCTGCATGCTTATCGCCGAGGCATTGTCTGCGTCCTGGGAGGGATTTATGGCCTCCATTCATGTGTGTTCCTGCCGGTTTACATCTGGAGCTCAGGCAGCCCTTCCCTTCACGTTTCTTGACTTTTTAAGGACATTTTCTCCCTGAGCCCAAGTCTAGAAAATGGGATTCTCTGGGCTCAGCCCCAAATGCTCACGTCTTGGGGAAGGGTAGCTTTTCCGAGATCGCTGCAAGGAGCCCAGTGTCAGCAAAGAGAACGTAGAGACCTACCAGAATGGTCAGTTCTTCAGTGTTTGTGACGCACCTACTGTGTATCTCTGCTCTTTGGTGATTGTGGTGGAACTTGAGGTGGTAGTAAATGCCAGTGTCAGCAAAGAGAACGTAAACTCGCAAGAAAAGGATAATAATATAAGACATGATTAAATGCCAAAATTAATTATACAGACAAGAAAATTCCACAAGAATAGAGAAAAGAGAAGAATGAAGAAGTCAGAAGGCTTTGTGAAAGTGGGAGGAGGTAGCACCACGGGGAAGCTTGGTGTCACATGGGGTGAGAATAAACTGAGAAGGAAGTCGGGGAGAGCTCAGGAAAAGCCAGGCCGAAAGCAGAGGAAATGTGACATTCTGTGTTCCTCAGTCTGGTTTCTTCTTCTCGACTTGGAAGCAGGAATCTGTGTGTGTGTGTGTGTGTGCGGTGCCTAGCACGGCCCTGAACGGAAAGTCCTGATAAATGTTTGCTTGATTGATTCGTTCCAAGCTGATTTCTCCTCTGTCCTCCAGAGAGACAAGAAGCAAGGTAGCTTTGAGATAGAGGCAGGACCGGTGTGAATTTTGTGGAATAATAATTTTTTCCTTAGGCCTTTCAAAGACAGACCTACAGCTTCAGTTGCCTCTTAAAATAGGATGTAAATGGGCTGGGGAAAGGTTTTGACATTTCATTAGAAATCGTGAGAGAGAAAGTGTGTTCTTTCTCAGTTGTTTCTCTTATAGCCCATATAGCCTTATATACTTTCTCTCTTAATTCACTGAGCCGGCACGTATTATGGAAGGCCTGCTATGTGCCCGGCACTGTGCTAGGCCCCGGGGTGGGAGGGTTAACAAGGCCTCGCTAGTCGCTCTCTCCAGTTGCTGTTGTCTGATAGGAAAGGCAGGTGAGCGAACGCAGCAGTGCCTGAGCTCGGCCCAGGTGAGGCCAGTGGCACAGATGAGGTGAAGGACAGCAGGACCTGGGGGGCGACTGGTGCAGTGAGCAGACAGGATGGACAGGAGCCTCTGGGCAAACAGCCTGGGATGGGAGTGTCAGATGAGAGGACCCGAGAGGGAGGCAAGAGCCAGGCCACCCCCCTGCTGGAAGACAGTCAAAGCACATTGGGTTTCTTACTTTGAAACGCATCATTAATTATTTTTGAGGCAGTATTACCTATGTGACTATATTATTCTTAGGCCAGTGTTAAAATTATTGTCTCACCTGAGCAGATGCTGCAGGGGGGCCAGGGAAGGCCCCTGGGAGTGTATGACAAGGCAGTCAGATGCTGCGCCCGGTTGCTGTTCCGCGGGGCGGGGCAGCTCCGCCCCTGCAGGGCGTGTCTCAGCTGCCTCCACTCCGGCTAGGGTGCACTCGGGTGGCCGTCCCCCTCCGCTCCGCCAGCTCCTACTCCCACCACCATGCTCTGAAATGTTCATTCACTGTGAGCTCCTGGAGCTCAAGGGCTTTTTATATTTTTGATCTATGCCCGAGATTCTGTCTTAGCAGGTGTTCCAGAAATACTTGTTGAGTGGATAAATGGGGATGGAAATGCACTTCAGAATTGAAAGGCTGTCCAGTCAAACCAGCAGCTCGGGGCAGCCCCGGGAGCCAGCGAGGCCTCCTGTGTGCTTGGTCGTGCAGGCTGTGGAAGGAGAGGACAGGCCTTGCCACTGACTAACGTGAGGGAAGCTCAGTGTTTGGGGAAATACATGAGGACCAGCCTACGCCATGTGGTATGTGTGAGTGGTGAGAGCTTTAGGAGTTGACCAACAACGGAACCCTCGAGTGCCAGCTAGGTGAGGCTGTCCGGAGGAAGCAGGGCTGGAGCTGGGCTCTGAAGGCCAGTCAGCGAGGGCTGGAAGGAGAGCATCCCTGGGGGTGCAGCGAGGGCCGGGGCGGGGTGGTGTGTGCGAGCCACCCTGCAAGTGACATTCCCACCAGGAAATGAAGTGGGGAGCCCTCCCATTTTCTCTCCCATTTCCCTCTCTGCCACTTTAGCACACAAATCTCACTTTTTGCTACATAAAAGCTGCCGATTTGTATATGAAAAAAACCCTCTGATTTTTAAGGAAATAGCTTAAAACACAGCTTTTCAGGGGCCACCACCCTGTCCGCTGTGTTGGCCGTGTGTTTCACCCAGGGAGGTGCCGTGTGTGGATAGTGCCCCGGGCGAGTGTTACGGGAAAGAGCGGAGTGGCAGAGCCGTTCCCTAGGTCTCTTAGGCCGGGAAAGTCTTTGGTTGGTGGCAGCCAGGATTATGGCTGTGCTGACAATGCAGCCTGTGTTCATTTTATAAGGTTCTTCTGCAAATAACAGAAAACCCAAAATAAAAGTGGCTTAAACAAAATAGAAGGATATCTCTCTGTTATGGAAACCTCGGCAGTGCAGGCTCTGATGTCAGGGCCCCAG